CCTGCACACCCCATGCATGCCTGCACACCCCATGCTTGCCTGCAAACAACACCCTTTTGAGGATTCTCAAAAGCCACAGCACCCAAACAGGGCACGGGCACGTACGCAGGAGGGGCATGCAAGAGGAGCAGAAGGAGTAGCAGAGCTGGCAGAAGCTCGAGGTGTTCTGCTGCACCAAACAATCGCTGCCGTCTGCTGGGCAGGTCAGACCTGAGGCTGTTGTGTTGCTGGAGGTGGGGAAGGAGGGGGTGAAGGGGGGTGGAGGGGAGGAGGGGAGGAGGGGAGGGGAGGAGTGGGATACAAGTGGGGGCAGTGGAAATATGGGAGCATGAGTGCATGCAAGAGGTGCATGGTTGCATGGGTGCATGGTTGCATATTTTCATCGGTCCATGGGTGCAAGAGTGAGTACTCACAAGGACCACAGGTGGGAAAGGCCGCCCACGCTGGCAGGAATGGGGCCGGCCAACTTGTTCTCATTGACATTCCTGCCATGTATGCCATGCCACGGGACAGAATGAGAACAAACAACACAGAGAGGCAGAAGCAAGAGCATCAATGCATTGGACATGCAACAAGTCTGCTTCGTGGCAATCCACTTGTTGCATGCACGACAGGGCTGTGCATGGTGGACAGTGCATGGCGTGCAGTGCATGGCGTGCAGGGCTGAGCATGGCTTACAGCAGCTGCAGAGAGGACATGCGGCCATAGGAGACAGGCAGGGCGCCCGTGAACTGATTGCTGCCGACGTCCCTGCAGATGAACGAGAAGGGGGGAGGGGGGCGTGGGGAGGGAGAGTGTGGTAGAGAGAGTGTGGTAGAGAGAGTGTGGTAGAGAGAGAGAGAGTGTGTGTGTGTGTTAGAGAGTGTGTTAGAGAGAGTGTGGTAGAGAGAGTGTGGTAGAGAGAGTGTGGTAGAGAGAGAGAGAGAGAGAGAGAGACAGAAAAAGAGAGTGAAAGGGGTGGGGAGAGGGGGGTGAAGGGGCGTAGGAAGAGAAGATTGGGGGAGGTGAGCAGTGAACATCAAGTGGTGAGGGCATCCCTCGATAGGCATCGTGCATCAGGCATCAGGCATCAGGCATTGCAATCCCACTGCTGAAAAACATCTGAAGCTCTTTGAAGCAATCTGGTAACCTCGTCGTGACACAAAGGGGTGTGCAGCAAGCAGTGCGGAATGCAGGGGTGTGGAGGGGTGCAGAACCAAGGGGTGCGGAACCAAGGGGTGCGGAACAAAGGGGTGCGGAACAAAGGGGTGCAGAACAAAGGGGGACTGGAATAAAAGGGTGTGCAGCAAGCGATGTGGAACGAAGAGGGGCGGATGACACTGTAGCTCCCACTTGCACGCGCTTGTGTGGTTGCGTGGAAGTGGAAGGATAGAAACAGCTTACAGCGCCACAAACTCGTTAGAGTAAATTTTAGGGAGAGTGCCAGTGAATGCATTGCAGTGAACATCCCTGCATAGGCATGCCGAATGGGAGGGAGAAACAGGCATGCAGCTGGTTGTGGCGATATGGGGAAACTCAGGCATGGGGTAACTACTACTAAGTAATGATGCACGGTGGTGTAAAGCGATGCAAGAATGAGAGCAGGCAGTCTCTGTGGAGCAAGAGACAACCACAAACTGAATCACAGGGAGCAGGCAAGGGCGTGGTGGGTGGGTGTGCAGAGAGCAGGTGGGATCAGAGGTGTGCAGTGTTGACACGCTGCTTAGGGCAGAATAGAAATGAACCAAACACAGTTTTTAACTGCGGGAGGGAGGCGCGGGTAGGGTGTAGGGTGGCGTGGGCATGAGGGCACTGACAACGTTGTCAGGAAGGGGATGTCGGAAATGGCAGGAGGGATATCTCATGTGAAGGCATTGCAGGACACGTTGCTGTGGGGGGAAGAGGGCAAGAGTCCGTGGGTGGGGGATTACACAGGTTTGGTTGGTTGAGGGGTTGGAAAATGGAGGGGGTGAATATTTGAGAGGGATGTTGAGGTTGTGTGGGGAGTTGGAAATGTTGCAGCGATGGTTGATGTGCTGTGGGTGGGGCTGACATGCACATGTGAAGAGGAGAGGAAACAAAAGGAACCACCAGCATCATGCATCGGGTGAGTTTTGAGTCGACTCAAAAGTCACCTCATTTCAGGGACGACCTTTTCACGCTGAGCTCCGTGCCTCATTTTTCCACACTACAAAAAAAAAACACAAAAAAAAACAAAAAAAACAAAAAACAAAAACAAAAAAAAACCCACACACACACACACACACACACACACCGTGCCTGGTCGTGTGGAGCGAACTTGGGCGAGTAAAACTAAAACCCACCATTTTCTCTGACAGCGAGAGCTTCATTTACTAGCATGGATTATTACTCGTCCAGCCCCGTTACTCAGACGAGGCAATGTGGAACTCGAGGCGAGTACTACTCGCCATGGCCAGTGCTCATGCGTCCCGAGCAATGTCAAGGTGAACAGACAAGCCGCCACGGAAGAAGAGATGAGCGTTCAGAATCCCAGATTGTGCTTGTATGGCCGCATGAGATGCCCGTGGTTCTCCTGCACTGTGTCTGCGGATTGGTTGGCCCCACTAAAGAAGAAGAAGAAAAAAAAAATCCTGACATGATTCACTGTCGACAGTGTCAGGTGGTGGTGTGGAGCGATTAGTAGTACATGTGAGTAACACTTGTATGGAGCGCGACTGCCGGGAAGGTTCCCGTGAAGCGGTTGTTGGATATGTCCCTGCAGTGAGGCAGACGAGGGGGAGGTGAAGGGGGAGAATGCGGCGCAGAGAGAGGGTGAGAGGAGGGAAGGGCTTGTTTGGAAGGAGGGCAGGAGCAGGGGGGTGAAAGAGCAAGGAATGGAACGTTCAAGTTGTAGTGCAGCTCTGTTGGCGCCACTCACAGGGTATTCATGCTTGTTATCGCCTTCAATTCAGGAAAGGGGCCCGAGAAATTGCACGAATTAATGATGCTGCATCCCAGATGTGTGAAGAAAGGGTGGATTGAGGAAGATGAGATGTTAACGGATGAGATGTTAACGGATGAGATGTTAACGGATGAGATGATAACGGATGAGATATAAACGTTGGCAGCGATTGGAAGCACATCGGGGACCCGGGCCTTAATCCACTCAGCTCGATCCATTTCGATTGCTTGGGAGGGCTAGAGGACGTTGCATTCCATTCCCTGTGCATCAGATACATATAGCCCGTTCGCCATATTTTGCATCCAGGGAATAAAATGGGCAGAGACGGCACATGGTATGCAGTGCTGCTTCTACTTCACTCACAGGTAGATGATACTGTTCAGTTTTGAAAGTGCCTCCAAGCCTCCTGAAAGAGGGTTCTCCTTGATATTGCTGATAAACCAGGAAATGGCCGGGTGCAGTGGGCATCGGAGGGAGTGGGAAGGCGTGGGAGGGTATGGGAGGGCATAGGGGGGCATGGAAGGGCATGGGAGGGCATGGGAGGGCATGGGAGGGCATGGGGGGGCATGGGGGGGTATGAGAGGGCATGGGACGGCATGGGAGGGCATGGGAGGGCATGGGAGGGCATGGGAAGAGCATGGGAAGGGCATTGCTCCCGCCATGAGGGCTTGACAGCGGTGATGTGACACGGACAGATAGACAGACAGACAGACAGATAGACAGACAGACAGACAGACAGACAGACAGACAGACAGACAGACAGACAGACAGACAGATAGACGGACAGACAGACAGACAGACAGACAGACAGATAGACAAACGGACGGACGGACAGAAAGACAGGCTAGAGAACAGAAGGCAGACAATGGCAGCTTCGGAGGCGAGTGGAAACTTGAGAGCAGCATACAGGACAGCGAGAGATGACAAAGCGGTGAAGGACGGGGGGATGGAGCCGGACAAGTTGTTCGTGGCAAGCCGTCTGTCACGCGTGGAGAGGAAGGGGGGAGGGGGGAACGGAAGAGAGGGTGGGGGAGAAGCTCGACTCGCTGTGTATATTTTCCTCACTTCAAGTTTTGATGTGGCCATGTCGTTGCCTTCCAAGTTCCAATCTAGCTCCGATCGAGGATTGTTTTATTTCATAACATCTGACCATCATGTTTTTGTTAACCCAAGCCTCGAGTGTAGTGCGGTGCAGTGCGGTACGGGAGGGATTGTTGACTGAGGTGCTTACAGACAGCACACCAACGATGCTTGTAGAGGTTAGGCTGCCCTCATTGGGATGCTATTCATCCTCAAGACAGGACGAGAACGTCTAAGTGTGCTGCCCTCGTTGTAACCTGATTTCGGTTGTGACCTCGGTTGCGATACGTAAGTGTGCTGCGCAAAACCATTTCTAAACTCATTGCAAATAGACGAGCATGCGGCAGTGAAGCAGGTTCAGAGGGGTGCAGGGTGGGTGAACGCGGCAACTCAGGAGTGAAAGCGGCGAGACTGACAGGTAGTACAAGGACTTGAGGGTGGAAAGTGTGTCGGGTATGCTTCCCAAAATGTGGTAGCTGTAACCCAATGACCTGCGGCAGGAGAGGGATGTGAGGGACGGGAGGGACGCGAGGGATGCGAGGGACGCGAGGGACGCGAGGGACGAGAGGGACGGGGACGTGGGAGGAGGAGTAATGAGCGACATGAGATTGAACCATTGAAAGGACGGAGACGACGCAAGGAATGCACATACAAATGCTTCAGGAAGGAGAGGGTGCTTGGGGTGACTGTTCCGTCGACTCAAAAAGCGTCTTTCGAAGAAAAAAAGAAGGCGAAAAGCTCCTGCATGAGAAGTCAGCGTTGAGGAGTTGAGGAGGTTGGTTGCTGCACGTACAGATGCGTGAGGCTGGAGAGGCCGGAGATGGTGCTGGGAATGGAGCCCGTGAACCCGTTGTCATCCGCGTACCTGCACTCACTCACGGTAGGAGAAGATTAGAATGGGCGTGGCTTGCAGGTCAAACTAGGAGGAGTACGAAGCGGAGAACACGGTCAATCAGAGGCACATCGGAAGCACATCAGATTGAAAGCACATGGGAAGGACATGGTCGGAAGCACGCATCTAGTCAAGCGTCCTTGCATTGGCTGTGCCATTATGCCGTGCTGCCACTGTACAAGCCCCAGCTGTGAGTGGGCATGCATGAGAGGAGAGGGCAGCAGCAGCAGCAGCAGCAGCAGCAGCAGCAGCAGCAGCAGCAGCAGCAGCAGCAGCAGCAGCAGCATCAGCAGCATCATCAGCAGCAGCAGCAGCAAGCAAGCAAGGAAGGAAGGAAGGAAGGGCTGACAGGTTGTGCAGGTTTGTGAGGGCCATCCACTCCGTGGGGAAGGGTGCGGAGCGCATGCGCTGGCCCGTGATGCCAGACACGTCTCTGCCAGCACGGAAGGGTGAGGGTGGGTGGGATGCGGTGGAGAGGGGTGGCAGCACGGCATGGAACGGTGTGGGGGGGGGGGCAGACAGGCAGCAAGACTGCAGAAGCATGCATGGGTGCAGCTGGTCATGAGAGCAGCATAGCACGGCACAGCACAGCACAGCACAGCACAGCATAGCACAGGTACCTCGACGTGCGTTGCTGGCTAGGCGTGGTTGAAATGGGAGGGAATGGCATGCATGTGGCACGTACAAGTATTCGAGTCTGGAGAGGGAGCTGATCCATGAGGGCAATCGGGTGAAATTCAGAGACCCCAGATTGCTGCATGTGGGGAAGGGGAATACGGAGATGAGGAGAGGAGGAGAGGAGGACGGAGAGATAATTGGGGACCACTTGAAGGGTAGAAACTTTGCAACATCCTATCACGAGATGACAAACGATGGATGCTGGTGCTGGTGCTGCAGCTTGTACGCCTATGGTTCGTGGCGTTGCCAATGGTGCATGGGTGGTGCTCGTGTCTTGGGATGAATGGTGCCAATGACACGTGAGATGAATGGGCCCTCCCTTCCCTTCTCATCACCCCCCACCGTGTCGGCCTTTCAGCCCGCTTTCAGGTATAAAACATGGTCTCTTGGTACTCCCCTCCCCACCTCCCTCCCCCCCTTCGACCACAGACCAGCAGCGTGCAAGCAGCTGCAGTGGCGTGGATGGCGATGAAGTGAGGGGAAGCCCCTCCAGGCTTACAGGTATGTGAGCTTGGTGGCGCTGCCGATGGAAACAGGCAGCTCGCCACTCAGCTTGGTGCCGCTCAAGTCCCTGCCATGCCATGCCATGCCATGCCATGCCATCCCATGTCATGCCATGCCATTGCACAGCAAGCAGCAACATAGTGAATGATAGAGATGAGGGGAGTTGAAGCGGGTAAGCATACTGACGTGCACGCACACGTGTGGAGAGCGAAGCTTTGTACGAGAAAACACGCCACAAGTGGTTCTTGCGTTGGCAGTCACCAGTCTCAGAATCGAAATTGAAACCAGGGCCAAGTCTCTTGCTTTTGCTAGAAGCAACCGGGATGGGTGTAGTTGCTCTGTTGTCAGCGAAGGTGTAGTATGGCTCGGCGTTGACATCGTTGTGAGGATCCTCTTTGTCAATCTCGTTCAGGACCGAAGAGTAAGGGGCGGCACCGGCAGCTGTTGACGCACCCCAGATAGCTTCCTCCATCGCGTCAGCTTTGTCTGCTTCTGTAGCAAAGGTACGTGTACCTGAAAACCCAGCTGTCAAATCTTCATGGTTGGCATGCTGCCTCTGCCAAGTGGGGTATGTGAGTGGTTCGTAGAAAAGAACGTCATGTGCCGGTATTGTAACCCGATCCCTGATTTTCCATGCTGTGAACTGCTTTTCGATGCGGAAATGTATTCCCCAACGTGCCCTCTGTGAAAACCTTCCTGCATGTGTATTCGGAGGCCGATACTGTATTTGTGCTTCCCAGCTTCCCTGTGCACTCCTTGTGTGGTGAGGAGTTGTTTGGCAGGGATGTTGAAGACAGAAGATTGCGGAGCAGGACAGCGTGGTCCATTGCAAACGGCCACTGCCCTGCTGACACGCGTGCTTCCATGAGCAGTTTGCGCATGGTTTTCTGCACGGTCCTGTTCATTCGTTCTGCCATGCCTTGCTGTTGATGTTGGCAAGGCAGCGACTGCAACTTCTTGATCCCCCTTTCCGCAAGATAGGCCCTGAAATGCTGTGAGAGGTATTCGAGAGCACTGTCAGTCTGAAAACTTTTCAGCTTCAAGTCACTTTCCCGTTCAGCTACATGTAGCTACGCCATGAATGCTTCGTAAGCAAGATTACTGTCAAACTATTATAATGTTTAGGTTGTGTAGGCTGTAGTGGGGTAGCCCATAAGGGGTACAACCCAATTAGGGTTAGTACTTGTACCACCTTTCTTCTTAATGCATTCATTCCTCGTTCAGTTTCTAACATGGTTTCAGAGCAGGTCCTGTTTCAGGACCATTTTCTTTTAGCGCCCACCGTACAGTTCCTTGCCCGTAGCGCGTTACCCTGCCCGTAGCGCCCTACCCTGTCTGTCGCGCTGCCCCACCAGTCGGGCTCCCCTGCCCGCGCGCCGCCCTGCTGGCTGCCGCGCTGCCCTGCCCTGCCTTGCGTTGCGCTGCCCAGCGCGCTATCTGCCCTACCCTGCGTTGCGCCGCCCCGCGCGCGCCCTGCCCTGTTTTGCGCCGCCCGCGCATGCCCTGCCCTGCCTCGCGTCGCGCCGCCCACGCGCGCCTGGCCCTGCCCCGCGTCCCGCCACCCCTTGCACGCCCTGCCCTGCGTCACGCTGCCCGCGCGCGCCTGGCCCTGCCCCGCGTCGCGCCGCCCCGCGCACGCCCTGCCCTGCGTCACGCTGCCCACGCGCCCCTGGCCCTGCCCTGCGTCGCGCCGCCCCGCGCACGCCCTGCCCTGTGTCGCGCTGCCCGCGCACGCCCCGCCCTGCCCAGCGTCGCGCCGCCCGCGCACGCCCTGCCCTGCGTCGCGCCGCCCACGCACGCCGTGCCCTGCCCGCGCGCCGCTCCGCTGGCCGCGCGCTACCCTGCCCTGCCCGCGCGCCGCCCTGCTGGCTGCCGCGCCCTGCCCTGCCTGCGCGCCGCCCTGCTGGCCGCCGCCCTGCCCTGCCCTGCCCGCGCGCCGCCCTACTGGCCGCCGCCCTGCCCTGCCCTGCCCGCGTGCCGCCCTGCTGGCAGCCACCCTGCCCTGCCCTGCCCGCGCGCTGCCCTGCTGGCCGCCTCCCTGCCCTGCCAGTTGCGCCGCCCTGCCCTAGCCGTGCGCCGCCCCGCCCTGCCCTTTGCGCTTCCCTAGCGCTTGCGCGCCACCCTGCCCGTCGCGCCGTCCTTGCTTGCGTGCTGCCCTGCTGCTCGCGCGCCACCCTGCTACTCTCAGCGTCCTCACATTCGATCTTGAGGGCCGTCCGATCCAGTTCGATACGTGGCTCGATGACTTACAGCTGTTCCTACTGAGCGATTCTAGAGACGGCGTTTCGTTGTTTGACCACACGTCTGGAGCCTCTCTTGCCCCTCCCGACACAGCTGACAGTGCGACTCGCTCACAGCGGCTTACTCGTGACCCTGCTACTCGCCTAGCCATTCGCAACCACCTACCGTCAGCCGAACGCGCTCACATTGGCCAGCACAAGACTGCTAAAGCCCTGTACGATGCTGTAGTTGCTCTGTACTCCTCCCCTGCCAATGCTGCTCTCGGCCGCCTTATACTGCCCTAGCTTTTTCCCGAGCTGTCCGCCTTTGCCATAGTCCACGATCTAGTCACCCACCTTCGCACTAATGACACTCGCTACCGCGCCGCGCTTCCCACCAAGTTTCTAGACAAGAACCCTCCCCCCATGTACATCGCTCTCTACTTCATCGTCACCCGCCTCCCTGACTCTCTTAGCTCAGTCAAGGACCTCTTTCTCGCCATGGACCCCACAGACCTCACTGTCGACCTGCTCGAGAAGCACCTCCTTGCAGCTGAGGCTAGCATAGTCGCTGTAGGTGCTGCTCGTGGCACTCCTCGCACTCCCTTCTTTGAGGGGTGTTCCTCCTACGCTTCTGCTGCTGCTGTTGACTTCCTTCGTGCTGAGGAGGTCGGGGCTGCGTCTGCTCCTAGTGGGAGGCGCAGCAGCGGCAAGGGCATGGGAGGCAAGGGTGGTGGGGGTGGCAGCGGTGGAGGCGGTGGTGGAGGCATTGGAGGCGGTGGAGGTGGCGGTGGTGGAGGAGGGAGTGGTGGTGGGAGTGGAGGCGTTGGTGGCGGCGGTGGTGGCGGCAGTGGGAGTGGTGGCGGCGGCAGTGGTGGCGGCGGCATTGGTGGCGGCAGTGGGAGTGGTGGCGGCGGCAGTGGTGGCGGTCGAGGTGGCACTGTCAAAACACTATCGAAGCGGGTAACCGGGTTTAAGGAGGGCCTAGGCTTAGTAGCCTAGGCCAAGCTATTGTCGAGGTCAAGGCCAAGGGAGTGTCGAGAGAAATTGACCAAACAAGTTAGCTTCACTAAAGCAAAGCATACAAGATATAGTCGAGAAACACAAACAAGAGGTGCACCACCAACAGCAAATAACTATAACTACAGTAACTACAGCAAGCAGGATATATCTTAGATATAACTTTGACACACCCCCTTAGCCTGCTTGCAGTAGGAACTAGAGTAGTCAACACCCCCTGAAGGGGTATAGCTGGCGCAGTGGGAGACGGTAGAGGGGTACGTGAGGGGAGGCGGCGAGAGGGAGAGAGGAGAGGAGAGGAGATGAGGACACAGGAGGAGGTGAGTGAGTGATGAGGAGAGGAGGTGGGGGGGTGGCCGCGGCGTCCCCTCTTACTAACCCCCTTTTACGAAAGGGGGGTTGAGTGGGGGATGAGGAGAGGAGGTGGGGGGGTGGCCGCAGCGTCCCCTCTTACTAACCCCCACATCCGCACCCCCAATCAACCACCGTCCTTCAACCTCACCCCGCATTTCAGCCACCCCCTGGAACCGCACCCCCTCCCTCCCTTCCTTCCTCCACACCCCTGCCCAACCCACAGTTGTCTCTGCTCTGTCCTTCACACTGCAGCCAGCCCTCCCACCCCCCCGCTCCCGCCACCTACCCCCCACAGTAGCAGCCGTGGGAGGGGAGAGGCAGGGCAGAGGGTGGTGCTCTGCTGGCGGGGTTCTCTGCTGGCGGGGTTCTCTGCTGGCGGGGTTCTCTGCTGGCGGGGTTCTCTGCTGGCGGGGTTCTCTGCTGGCGGGGTTCTCTGCTGGCGGAGTTCTCTGCTGGCGGGGTTCTCTGCTGGTGGGGTTCTCTGCTGGTGGGGTTCTCTGCTGGCGGCTGGCCCTGGAGCTGGTGCTGGTGCTGGCGGCTGGCCCTGGAGCTGGTGCTGGTGCTGGCGGCTGGCCCTGGAGCTGGTGCTGGTGCTGGCGGCTGGCCCTGGTGCTGGTGCTGGTGCTGGCGGCTGGCCCTGGAGCTGGTGCTGGTGCTGGCGGCTGGCCCTGGTGCTGGTGCTGGTGCTGGCGGCTGGCCCTGGAGCTGGTGCTGGTGCTGGCGGCTGGCCCTGGAGCTGGTGCTGGTGCTGGCGGCTGGCCCTGGAGCTGGTGCTGGTGCTGGCGGCTGGCCCTGGAGCTGGTGCTGGTGCTGGCGGCTGGCCCTGGTGCTGGTGCTGGTGCTGGCGGCTGGCCCTGGAGCTGGTGCTGGTGCTGGCGGTGATCGCTGGTGTTCCGCCGCCACTCCCTTCCCCCTTTTCCTCTCTCTCCCCCACAGCATTCCGCCGCCACTCCCTTCCCCCTTTCCCACTCCCCCCCACAGAGTT